TGAATCTATTGAACTCTGTGAGCTATTGGTTGCACAAACTTTTTTCAAAACATTGTCAACAACGCTTGCCGGCCCTCCACACGGATTACAAGCGCCGCCGGGGCCCAGCCCCGCCCCCCCCCACCAGCGCGGCCGGGTGTTGTGGGGGCGCGGATAAAAAGTCTCTCCCCCCCCCCCCCCCCCCCGCGTCACAAATAAACCTAGCTACGGCCCTGGCTTGAGTATGTTTAGCACGAAAAGTCGTCACATTGCAAATTAATAAATTAACAATAAATATGCGTTATTAACCAGGCGTTTTTTGGCGTTTTTGTTGATTGAAGCGAAGTCAAGGTCGAAGTAAAAATAACAAGGCCAATATCCAGCTATCTTGACCGAACTATGACCGAACTTTATCATATGGCCAAAAACAAGGACGAACGTGGGAAATCCCGGGCGGCCAAGATGGGCCCATCTTGCCCACTCGGGTAGCCAATCAGAATGCAGCATTCGCTTCACCTTGGCCTATCGCGGATTCAGCCATATAATATATAATAATAGATAGTAATAAAGGTAGTATTTATATGTCAGTTTTTGCAAGCGACCAAAGGATCCCGCAATCATTATCCCCAGGTGAAACTATCCTTAGAACCCTTCTATTCCTGTCGCCTTCAATCACTAACTGTTCTTCTTTTTTTTTTCCTCAGGTGTGGATAACGGATTTGTATTCAGTGTATAAACCAGCTAAGAACCATTAATCTTGGTTTAGGTAAACTCTTAATAGAAATGGATCATATTCGCCACGCTCTTCTTTTGGTTTATCAGTGTTTCTTTTTTAATCTTAAGGCTTAAGGAGAAAATGTTTATCTTCTTGATGTATGTATATCTACTTTGACGAAATGGGAATCTTTTTGTCCACGGAATAATTTTTAGTATTAGATAAAATATGAGCAGGAAATTAATGTCTATGGGTGTTTACAATGGCGAGCCTTCAGGTTTCCATTGTGCACGTGCAACCCACACTAATCGGACGCGAATGTTTTATATTCTTGCGAATTGAAACATTCAGTAGAGGTCTGTATGTATCAAAAGTTGCATTTAGTGATTTCTAATAAACTGAGCGGGAGCTTGTATAAAATTAAAGTTAATTCTACGGTTAAATAATTCTTTAACTCCATTTATTATTGGACTTGACAGAGGGATACATATATGAGTTAACACCAGTCAAATACTGTTTTTTTACCATTTGTATTATTAAAAATTTCCGGAAAATCCGGTTGGAAAGTAAATGGAACATGACTTTTCGGGTCGTTTCAGTGGAAAATTTCCGGGAGCAACAGAACATCTGAAAAGGTAGTCCCGGTCGGAATGTTCCAAACGGAAATTCGTGTTACCTTTCTTCAAAGCCATCTTTGATTCCAGTTTCAGGGTTTCGTGGCCGTTTTCTGGTAAATGGAACTGAATTGTGCAAAAACTGATGGCGATTCCAGGACGAAATTTACCAGTCCCGAATTTTGCGTTCTATTATTTGCCCAAACCGGAACCGACCGGTTTGCCCCATGTAAATGATAAACAACCACTACCTAGTAATTGATGATAGCCTTGATGTTTTGTATAGTTGCAAAGCAGTTGAGTGCTTTCTACCGTGTCCATAAATGAAGCGGAATTTCGAAGGTTGTGCATGGGCATGTTTGGTAGCCTGCGTAGCAGGGGCTCGAAAGTAATGGACGCAAGAAAGAACAGGGCGCGCGAGGGGAGTGTCTCCATCGCGCACCCCGTTCTTTCTTGCACATTAGGGAGCTTAAGCAATGACGACGGTGACGGCAACGACAACGGCAAAAAAGCAATAGGTTTAGATTGGCAAAACAACAACTTTGCACGTGCATCACGCTTTTTGTACATTTCTTAGCCGTTATTGCAAGACTACAACGTGGCGTTTGAAAACATTTGAAAACTGTATAGTTGAATTTGAGCGGTATAAATGAATGTTATCATTATTATCATTATCATTATTATTATTATTATTATTATTATTATTATTATTATTATTATTATTATTATTATTAAGAACCTAATTTCACGTTTTGTCGAGGACGGGAACACACGACAACAACTTTCTTTTTCTTTTCCTGACTTTTGATACAATCCTTTAGAATTCAACTCCAAAAAAAAATTGACAACATTTGACGAATTAAACGAGATGGAATAAGCGCGATAAAGTTTGAGGCAGCGCGAATTCACTTGTTAAGTGACGTTTTCGTAGCCGTCGCCGTCGTCGTTGCTTAAGCTCCCTATTTCTTCTAAGCGCCTGCTACGCAGGCTACATGTGTGATTTCACTCGCGCGGGACTGTCTATTTCGCGAGTGTAAAAGCAACAGAATGCAAATCGTCTCAAGACTTATCTTTATGACCGTGGATCTCTTAGACCCCGTCATGTGCCTGGGCCTGTTTAAAAACTTGCCTGTTTTTGTACGTGTCTAGGTGGAAAGTTGCTGCCATTAATAAAGAACAACCAGGCAGTCACTGACCAGTATTGCGTTATTTGTAAAGTTTTTATGGAGATCTGTTCTCGGTTTAGTGTTCTCGGAATAGTGAGATTTAGAATTACGTTTACGTTAAATGTCAATTTGTACTACGTGACCAAGGTTTTCCGTAAGCTTGATTGTCGTTCACTGTTCATAACGTCCACAAAAAAGTAGTCGTTCCACGCCAGTTGCATTCATAGGAATAAGTTTGCACAGTTTTTATCTTCTTACTCCCTACTTCAAGAAACTGTGAACTCGAATCTGATATGATTCTAAATCTCTTCATAATCTCGTACATTTCTTTGATTCCTGCATAGACACAGACTAACTTCTCACCACGGAATTGGCCGAAAGGACGTATTCTCGCCTGCTAGGTACGCTATACATATCCCCAGTCTCACGTCCAGGCGCATAACAAATTTATAGCGTTAAAAATGGGCGGTGAACTCAATTAAGGCCAAAGGTCTAACTCTGCGCTCATTATTTCTCAGGCGGTAATTTAGGCAGTTTCACAAGAAAGAAATTAATCTGGTTTCCGCTTAGTATCCTTTGGGCTGCAATAGCGAAGACAGTAACCTTTTTTTCACAAAATTTGCTTTAAAAAAACGCGCGATAAAGGTGCTGGTCGCCAGACAAGGGCTAGTGAAGCGGCACGACTGCTCCCAAAACTCTCGCCTCCACAGAGAGGCCTCTGTGTCGTAGGAAGGCTAAGGAGAGGGGGAAAAAAGCGTGCGGGGGACAATGGGAAGGGGAAAGCGCGCTTGCTATTTTTCGATTATTACTATTTTTATTGGGATACCTAGTGGGAGCCGAGCACTGGGATAGTAAAAGTCAGCAGTGGGGCAAGCGATTTTTTTTTTCGTCTGTTTATCTCGCTCTTCGCTCTGGTTAAGTTCCCAGCGGAGGGAAACTCGTTTGCTGTTTTCCACCAGCATAGCCGGTGCGAGGTCAGCAGATTATCAGCAACAGAGAGTATTCACGTGACGTCACGTCCGTCATACCGCTGTCCCAAAACAATAAAACGGCAGCCATGTTGGTGTCCCAAACTAATCCTGTAGGAGTAAAAACTTCCTTTTTTCCCGATAAATTTGCATAGCTGCCATCCTCGTCGGACCCTTGCTTGAAAACTTTCGTTGCGCCTTTTTTCCCGACCCGACTAACTGCCCCTGTGTCTCCGAGGGTGCATAGCAGAAGCTGCTGGCCAGGTGAGTGAAAACGCTCTATAATAGGCCATCCGCTGACGAGCACACTTAATGAGATTTTTGCGGCGACGGATGAAAAACGAAAACATGAAAATTGACACAGTTCTCTATTCGCTGAGGTTGTTTAATTCTTAATTTTCAATAGTTCTGCAGCATATAACAGTCTATTTAAAGATCTTTCCCTGGTTATAGCCATGGTTCATCAAATCTCCTTCATCTTGCTTCAGGTAGTCCGAAATCTTTTTCTTGTCTTCGGGATTATCTACGTCCAGCTTTGTGAACTTGTACGAGGGGGCATCGATGTTCCAGTCCTCACAAAGCTGCAAAAACAGTTATTTAAATAAGCATCAAAGTGTGACTGAATGAGCAGCAAAAAGACAGAAAACGGTTGAAAACATAACAATGGCAACAACTCTTAATGGTCCGTGACATAAGTCACAGTACATTGCAGCAGGCCCATGGCAGAGAAAATCTTAACAACACAAACAGAGCCCCTCATTATAGTAATAAATGGTTTCCACACAACGATTCAGTCCACTACTCTATGTTGTAATAATCATCGAGGCTCTGTTGTAGCGTAGAGTGATTTTACTTAACTCGTGAAACAGTGCCCAACAGTTACAAGTAAACAAAAGGAAAAAGTGAAATAACAGTCTGATACTGCATAGTAGTGTGCTATCTATTTCAGGGGTTAAGTAAAATCACTCTCACTTCTGGCCTAATACCTACATACTAAAACTGTAATGGTAATTGTAAGCAATGATACGAAGCTGAGTATGACATGGAGAGTATAGATAGAAGAGGATATCATTTAAAGAAGAAGAACGCAAATCTGCAAAACAATCAACTGTTCTTTTGCAGTTTAAGGATATCAACGATTCCTTGCAGATATTCTTCACAAAAGCGGTTGACATCTTTCTGTGACTTCATTGTATAGTAACCATTCTGGTTTTTTCGTCTTTGCTAAGCAAAATTTTCCATCAAGTTTCATGCTTTTTTTTCCTTAAACTTTAACGTGTAGTTCTGCCCTGCCAAAGCGAAACCCCTCTGTAACATGAAGTGATTCATTCAACGAATCTAGATAGTTGATGTCAATCAAATTTGATGTAAGGGCGAAACTTAGGACTCAGCGTGCAAAGAAAGTCGTGTCTGATTGCCCGGGGCTAGCTGATTTTGCTATCGGGATAGTGATTTTTGTTCTTATAAACTTGCCTGATGGGCAAGTGGTTTTTTTGGGGGAAATTGAAATTACAGAAGGACTGCAACCAAACCTGATCAAAAAGGGTTTTGGGGCTAGTTGAAATGACTTGTGGGCTAGTACATGCTAGCTACAGCTTGGCCGAATGCCAAGCTGTGAAACTGACTTTCTTTGCACCCTAGGACTACTAGAAACACATCCACCAAACGCACAGGGCGGATGCCCAGTGCTCTGACCATTCAGCCACCAGGGGACACAGCTTCCACACATAACTGTAGATTATTGCCAACTATGAGGTAAAGCCAAAGTTGCGATCAAACTCGGGTTTTCCCAGTAATTTGGTTTAAACATTCAGGTTAAACAAGAGAGAGGCATGGGAGGGGCAGATACGTAATAGCACCCCGTCCAAAAAATTTTATCATCCCATACTCTCTTTCTGTTGGGTGGAGGCTATAGTACATGGTCTGAGAGTTTTGGCGGCAAAGACGAGAGAAACGAGCATGGCAGCTTCGCAGCTCCCCTGCCAGGCGCTCGCACTAACTAACGATTCTACCAGCTTTGCAAACCAATAGTACATGTCTCTCTTTGCAAGCAGCAGCTACCTGTTGACCCTGAATTACAAAGAACACTTACATTGAAGGCCAGCTCCTGTCCACGGAATATCCATATACCAGAGATTGACTCTGCTTTGTCTTTTCCAAATATGCACACACTAGCAAAAGCCGTCTTTTTTAGTTTCTCCAGTCGCTGAAACATTCCACCCACTAAGTTACAGGCCTTAAAGATGTGTGATAGCTCGTCTTTGTACATGTACTCAGCGAACCAAATGGAATAGTCTTCTTTGTTAAACTGCTCCCAGAAGTAAGGAACAGACACATCCGTGTCGTTATTCGAGTACTTTCGCTTGAAGGCATCCATATCGAAAGAGCTAAGAAGGTAAAGATTGTCACAAAATTTCTGGCGCTAATTCACCATGTTCACATTGCCATAATACACTAACACACCTTGTTTATCCTCCAAAATTGTGCATAACAATATTATTTCCAGGGCCAAGTTGTCAAAGCTGGGTTAAGATAACCCCATGTAGGTGCAAAAGTGAATTCAGAAAATTCACCACTTGCAGATCTCCCATAATGCACCTTATTTGCCCCCCAAAATTTTGCATAACCTTTGTAATATCATAGGTGACGAAATACTCCTTAATTTTGGCGCGAAATTTCAACGTTAATTGTAATTTTCCATGTGAAATTACAAAATTGCCATGGCAACCTTCCGTATGTCTCAGTGTCAAGATGGCGATGAAGTTTTAAAATGTCATGAATGAAGATGTCAGGGCACAAAAAGATGCTTTAGAAAACCTGAACACATGAAAGAGCACATCAAGAAGGATTCTAACAGGTATTTTGTCAAAAAAAACTCTGAACTTAAGCCAAATTTAAGCGCTAAACGTTCGAGAGAGTGCAGGAGTTCTCAATTGATACGATCCAGGATAAACATGTCAAAAATCCAAGATTGCTAACGTAATTCGTCACCCATGATATTAATAGGTAATCAAATGGTATACTCGTGAAATTAGGGAATAGTTTCACTTGCGTTTCGTCCAAATCCTAATAATTTGGACAAAACGTGCGTAAAATTATTCCCTAATTTCACTTGTCACCATTTGATTACACATACTTATTCAACTCTCCTAGGTATTACAGCTGTCCCAAGAGAAATTGAAAACAATGCTTATGCAAAATTTTGGGGGGGCAAATTAGGTGCATTATGGGAGATGTGCAAGTGGTGAATGAAAGTTTAAAAAGCAAATTCAGTTTTATTCATTTTGTCTACAATTTGATGACTGGATTATCTGGGAAAAATATTATTTGATTATCTGGGAAATGCTTTTGAACAAAAGAAACCTGGGTTAAATTTAACCCTGGGTTAGTGCTAATTGGCCTTCGAACAACTGGGCCCTGGGTATTACAAGCTGTCCCAGGAGAAACTATAAACAATTCTTATGTAGTAAATCACAACTGCAATTTTTGGTGATGTTCATATGAACTACAACATGCCTAATTAACATTGCTAGTATTACAGTCATTCACCTTAACCCTTTAAGCCCTAAGAGTGATCAGCGTCAAATTTCTCCTTGTAATATCATTGCTTTATTAAACAGAGTGGTCATGAGAATTACGGACATGATCACACAAGATGGATCTAATTGATACTTCAACAAATTCTCCCCACTACTTCTATTGAAAACGTAATGTCTGCAAAGCAGTGCCCATATCTTTGTTCTAGGCCCCCAACAGACACAACGAATTACCGGAAATGCGTTTTGAATTTCCTTTCATCTTGATGTGAAAATCAACAAAGCCTTTTTGAGCAGGCCAATCATGGCACGTACTCAAATCCTGGGACACAGGACAGGTGGGAACCTACGGGAAGGATTTTAGAGTTGTTTAACTTGTTGAACTTAACCAGAGTTTAGTTTCATCTGCGGTGTAGGCTATGGTCTCGCTGGCCAGTTCTGACTTTTGGAGAGCACCCGTAGTAGTCAATTTGAACAAGTCAACTGTACCTCTTTGGCAGACCAGCATAAGGGTCTACAAACTTTGGCGGTGGTGGAGCATCGTCTTCCTCTTCTGGTTCTTCCTTTTTCTTTTCTTGTTTCTTTGGTTTTTCCTGTTTGAGTTTTTCTTGTTTTGGTTTTTTTTCCTCTTTAACTTTCTTTTCCTTTTTCTCCTCCTTCTTAGGATGCAACTCAGCATATTTCTTTACTGAGGAAATAATTATATAACATATTTTAGATTTCATAATTAATCGCAAAAACTATTTCACAGTATGCCTCTATTTGCACTGCCGAAACTTAATACAAAAACGTTGCTGTCTCAAGTATTGAACCAAATGCCATTGAGAATTCTCTTGCATGCTGCTCTTGGGTGGTGACACTTTTGGGTGTAATTACTGCAAAACTTACAAAACTGTGAACACCAGAAATATTTACGGAATGCTATTGTGTTGCGTGAAAAAAAGCCAATAAGGCGTGAGATAACTAAACCGCAAACAGCAACAGTAATTAGTTGGTGGTTTTGAGCTTTGCTTGCATACCCTGAATTTTCTTGTAATTGGCCAGTACACAACCAACATTCCCGAAATTTTTCAGGTGTTCACGGTTTTCTGAGTTTGACAGTAAAGATTAATAAGATAACTAAGACTCACCATCAAATTTAGCCATAGTTTGGCAAAGCTTCACCTCTCCCAGGATCTTTTTAAACTGTGGCTGATTTACGATGGTAAGGAACCATCTGTTCACATTAGCAAATGGAGCTCTGAAGGTGGGGTCCATCACCTGACAATTAAAACAAGATGTAATAACTCATTCATTACATGTCTGAATCCGTGAGCAGGCAAGATGCTTGAGATTTCAAGTGTTGGTCCCTCAAGAAAATAAATCCTTTACTGACCAAGCTTTTTTGGTCAAGATGGCTGGATAATATTGGCTCATTCCTTTTTGGCACTTTTATTGACCTTGACTTTGTCACTGTCCATAAATATGGAAAAATAACTCTGCTTTTTATAACACTTATCTGATGACTAACTCTTTTGTTCAGTTATTATTACTACTATTGTCTGTTGAGTCCCTGACAGTTATGGTATAGCTTGTGTTGACTTCGGTGAATCCGAAGACCTCAGACAGAACCGGGTAATTCACTACGAAGTGATAATGTAATAATATAATAATGTAATGTAATAATGTCAAGTCCAAGTTAACTGGCCATGATAGCTAGCAATTCCCACAATTTCCTTGGAAAAATTACTGTTTTGGCTAAAAGGTAAGTGGGGCATGGTGACATCCAACAACTTATAAAAATTTCTTTTGTCAAGGGCAGCAATATTAAGAAGAACTGTCTGTTTAAGAGAATGTCCATAAGAGAGCTTCCACTACAATTTTCAAGAAGGTATACAAATCAATGCAGATAATATCCTGATAATGTTGAGGGTTACAGCATATACATGTATCACTAATGTCACAAACCTGCTTGTACAACATGAGAAGGTTGCAGCCAACTGAGATGTCAGCAAGAGATACTCGCTCACCAACAAGAAAAGTCTTGGTCAGTAAAACATTGTTCAGGACTGTCAAGCACTTCTTAACATCCTCCATGGCTTTGTCAGTGGACTGCAAAATTATTTGAAAACATTTAGTTTTATAAAACACTTTGTCTTCAAAATAGCAAGAAACAAACCCAACTTTCAAACCTCTAAGAGAAATGGAAATTGGTTTCTAAAATCACGACTTTGAAAAATCGAAGACAGCTTCAAGTCAGAACTATTTTAACGTACATGTAGTGTTGTCAAATTAGAACCAAGAAGGCCTCAGAAAACAACAGCATAGCACTCTTACAAGTCAATGCCTCTATTTAGTGTAACAGAAACCCAGAGTGTGAAAAAACCCTAAAAAATGATCATCATAGCCAAATTTAAATAACTTGAATAGAATATTGCACACCTGCTTGTTGTATTGCATCAAACCCAAAGTAGGAAACACCCAGGTAGCCACTGCAGGCAAGAGTTCTTGATCAGCAAAGTTCACATACTGCTGGATCTCCGCCATTTCCAGAGGAGCCTTCCCACGCAGTTCATCATTAGACACTAAAATGAATTAAGAAGAAGTAAGCTGTGTAATGTACTATCCTAATTCTTTGTATGAAGAAAACACTCAAGGTAGTGGTTTAATTAAGAAAAATTGTATGGAGCCCAAACTTAGTTCTGTACACATGATACTCAGGGTGCCCAGTAAACAATTATTTTTATGGTGCAAAAACTAGGATTTCTTTAGTGAGAGAAAACAGCTGATATTTTGCAAAGCCACCACTGGTTTTCCTACAAAATGACATGGGAGGAACAAACGCAGAAATTTCACACTGATGACGCATCATAACCACATCTGGGAAGTGCTTCTGATTGGTTGAAAATAAGCTTCATCCCACCAGAAGCAAGGAATTTCTGTGGTCATTCCTCAAACATCACTTCTCACGTAAACCAGTGGTTTTTTTTTAAGTTTTTGAGAAAATACGTGCTGTTAGTCCAATCACACTAAAAATCAACCATTAACTAGTGATCTGTTTAACAGGCTATGACACTAATTTCCAGCATCATGTGAATTAGCAGCATCAAAGGAATAATCACAGACTCCAGTGCCTTCTATCTCTCCCAAAGGTGATAAAGAAGAGCTTTCATTTGCTTCAAGCCCCAAATAAAAAGTCTGTTCACAAGATAAGAAAGATGCAACTTTACGATCAAACATGTTAACATACCATAGTAAGCAATGGCATTGCTTTCATAAATGCACTTTCCATCTTTGGTCTCAAATGCTGGGACCTGGTGAAAGAAAACTATGCAGTCAAAATAACCTCTTTAATTATTTTGAGAACTAATCATAACCAGTAAAATATTCAGTAAAATATTATTGATGATGAGGACCTAGCTACTTGTAAGGGATATACTATGATATAATTTATTTTTATTTATTTACCAGCTTTTCTGGACACAGACATGGCAAGAGGGAATGTGTACGAACAGGACTCAGGTCCCATGCGAGGTGCCATCCCTACCCAATCCCACAGCCTGTTAAGGTTGGCCACACCACCGGGGTCTACGACCTCTACTCTTTTAGAATAGTGATGTGGGTTCTTTTACGTCCCACAAGAACAAATCAGTGACAGTGCTGTGAGACAGGACCAACCGTTTTCTGCCCTTATCCGAGAAGACTAGAAAGTCTAACCATTTGCAGATGTCATTACAAAGGCAGCACTTTCTTCTCAGTTATTTTAAGACCCTGAGTGTTGGTCCGGCCGGGCTTTGAACCTGCGACCTCCTGCTCAGCAGACCGGCGCTCTCCCAACTGAGCTAACTAGGCAAAAAGATAAGGTCATCCTCTTTTTTTTCTCCGTTTACCGTCGTCCAACCGACCCACATTTTTGGCATTTTCAAAAAAAAAAAAGTACCGACGTAGTTACACCATTTTTCACTTGACATAATTCTTTTAATCTAAAAAATGAGCATAGTAACAGCATAGAGAAAAACAGGAACAAAAACATGAACAGTTTTCACAGTATACTGTACATTTTGTTAATCCACATGTGTGAATGTTAACTTTTAATGTCGTCCTGGGGTGCCAGGGCCTACTATTCCGAGACTTCTTGTTATTTTTTTTTTTAGGTTTTTTTTTTTTTAATCTGACCCGCTGACCCAAAATTGGGAAACGCATTCGACGGTAAACGCAAAAAAAAAAGGGGTTGGCCTAACATCCAGGGGGTTTGAACATAAGACCAGAGTTTATTTTTTCGCTCCCCCCCTGGGCCTTGATAGGTTAAGTACCGACGTAGTTACACCATTTTTCACTTGAAATAATTCTTTTAATCTCAAAAATGAGCATAGAAACAGCATAGAGAAAAACAGGAACAAAAACATGAACAGTTTTCACAGTATATTGTACATTTTGTTAATCCAAATGTGTGAATGTTAACTTTTAATGTCGTCCTGGGGTGCCAGGGCCTACTATTCCGAGACTTCTTGTTATTTTTTTTTTTAGGTTTTTTTTTTTTCAATCTGACCGACTGACCCAATATCAGGAAACGCATTCGACGGTAAACGAAGAAAAAAAAGGGGATGGCCTAAGATCCAAGGGGTTTGAACCTTATGACAGAGTATCTCTTCTCGCCTCCCCTCTGGGCCTCGACGGGGTCTGTACAAAAATACTCTGGGCTTGTACAAAAATTACAAAATAAATATACACTATGAAATATCTTTGGAAAAAATACTACTCTTTTGTTGTGAATAAAAATATTATGAATACCTTTCCCAGAGGAAATTTCTTCAAAAATTCAGCAGTCTGGTTGGTCTCTCCAAACTTGAAAGGTGGTAGAGAAATTTTTGCTCCACTGTACTCAGCGGCGATGAGGATTTTATAGGCCCGAAAGTTATCCGGATACGTGTACAAACTCTGCGAAAAAGAAATTAAAATCACTTACGAAAAGACCCAAATTAACTGTACCACACAATATTAAGGCTAAAAAATCTGTAAATGAAAGGATTGCTTTGTATTTAGTCGGATTCTAAAGGGGAGAAACTTACACCTTCAGCCATTGCCAATGTCGATGTGATAAGAGGAAGATCGAGCGGCAATGGGGTCGATCTTATGGTTATTTGCTTGGTGACCGCGCTAAATGTTGCAAAGCTTGCGTGGTTCCAATATGGCGGCTTCTGTAGTGAATTAGAGGCAAAATGTAGATTTATTCCTGGCCAGGTATTAAGTAATCATGCCTAACTGGTATTTCAGTAAAGAGGGCTTGGTGAGAACACCATCAAGGTTGGATGGTATCGATTATATGACAGAGACACGTTACAGAAGAGAAGGAACACGATTCATTATGAACTGTGGAAACAAGATGAGGTTGTATCCTTTCATATGAATGTTTGTTGTGAGCCTTTTTGTTAAGCTTATTACTTCCCAAGTGGTAATCACTTACTCATGCTGATATAGGACTATGAACTATACTGCCATTTGCGATAGTTTCGAAAACGAAGCACTCGAAAACGAAGAACAAAGCACGAAGCGCCCAAAACTCGAAAACGAAGCACCCAAATCTCGAAAACGAAGCACCCAAAACTCGAAAACGAAGACCCCTAGATCGAAAACGAAGCACCCTATCTCGAAAACGAAGCACCCTATCTCGAAAACGAAGACCCCAAAATCTCGAAAACGAAGCACCCTAAACTCGGAAACGAAGCACTCAAAACTCGAAAACGAAGACCCCTAAATCTCGAAAACGAAGCACCCAAAACTCGAAACCACTGTAGGTTTAATAAGTGCAACTTTACGTCTTACATGACGCAATCCGAATCAGGTGGAGGCAGCGGATGTGCCCGCACCTCTAAAGGTCCACAAAATCCATCCCAAGGTTTTATAACCAACTGTTTCACTGAACATTTCTAGATCGGTCAGTGTAAAACGCAGACTGCGGACTGTAGACTGCAGACTGCGGACCAGGGGTAAAATGCAGACTGAGTGTAAAATGCAGACTGCAGACTAAGAGTAAAACGCAGGCTGGGGTAAAATGCAGACCGAGCATAAACTGTAGTCGTGGAAGGGTTTAAGGGCAAAAAAATCCCGCAAATACATGTAAACGAACACTTAATTGATGACATCTGCGTTCACAAATCCATTCCTTTCTTCTCTGGAACGTCGTCGACGACCCGAAAACATAATCGCAATCTTGAACCTTTTTTCCATCCGAGAGACTTCACGCTTCAACTTTTGATGCGAAGTTTTCGATATACGTGACCAGGGACCGTGAACTGGTACAACACCACAATGTTTACGCTTAAATGAAAGCTGCTGACCCAAAATACTGTACAGGAAGAATTATGGCGATAAAAAAAGGGAGTAAGTCATTCCAACAACAAAGAAAGATGTTCTGCAAGAAATTTGGATGACCTTCTATGAAAGTATTGCAAATCAAGGTACGCAGACTTCAGCTGTTTGGATGTTCATTGAAACTTCTGGCGAATGTGCAATTCACTTCGACTAGGAAGCGAAGTGTGTAACTGATACCGGCTAGCTATTTCACCGATTTGAAGAAGAAGGAGCACAAATGTTTAAAAAAGTCTACAGTCTTTGTTCTGCATTTTACCCCAGCCTGCGTTTTACACTTAGTCTGCAGTCTGCATTTTACACTCAGTCTGCATTTTACCCCTGGTCCGCAGTCTGCAGTCTGCAGTCCGCAGTCTGCGTTTTACACTGACCGGTTTCTAGATAGGATATCCTGTATTAATTTTATTATTAGTCTCCCTATACTTGATACATCTTACCTTAATATGCATTTTTTCGGTACACATACATGTTTATGTAGACTTCAGAACTGTCCGTCAGCAGATTTTGGCGTATTCAAGTACGCGTGAGCAGTAACACAAAAGGTCTGAAACGAGGCTGAAAACGGAGTGTGAGGCTCGCGTGTATTACTCTTACGCCACGCTTCACCGACTTCTTTACTGATTTTGAGAAAAAAAACCGATTGTTTTGCAGTCTAACATATTGGATATCTATGACACTGCGTGATCAGATCAGATCAGATCCAGGCAGAATTTGTTCTAGGATAACAGCCTGGGACCAGGCTCTATGGTGGGGAACAGGAGAATTCGTTATCGTGCTTCATTCCTGCTGTATTAGCATTGGTCTCGTGTTTATAAAGGACAGACCGGTTTCGAGTTTTTGGGTGCTTCGTTTTCGAGATTTAGGGGTCTTCGTTTTCGAGTTTTGGGTGCTTCGTTTTCGATCTAGGGTGCTTCGTTTTCGAGATTTGGGTGCTTCGTTTTCGAGATTTGGGTGTTTCATGCTTTGGTCTTTTTTTTTGGAGTGCTTCGTTTTTGAAACTACCGCCATTTGCAGGCTGCCTGTAGTAATGCCCCGCTTATAATTCCAGTTTCTAGTGTGAGGCCGGCCTTTAAAAAAATAAAAATATGATATATTTTGACTTAAAAAAATAAGAATATGATATATTTTAAGACTGGACCTTAAGCCTACTTTTCAAAAATACTTTACTAGAGAATTCTTTTTTAAGATATTCATGTCAATTTTAATCGCGGTTACTCCTTTGTTTTTAGTTATTTCTGTGCACAGGCTATGTATTACAGAAACTGTTTCTTTCGCCCCCAAGTCATCATGCCCTATTTACTCAGCACCCCATTTGTAAAGCCCCCTATTTGTAATGTGCTTGCTTTGGTTTATGGCTTAAAGAACGAGGATTACTACTTCGGGTGAAATGACTTGGGGGCAAAATAACTGTAAAGCACATAAACTACATTACAGTACTATATTATAGTATCATGACCTGTCATATATTATATAATGCTTCATACGATGTTCGATATATGCTATTTATTATATGGAGGAGAGTGTTTTACTGGGAACTAAACCACTCGTAGATTCCATACGCCACTTCATCCGGGACCCGAGTGGCGTATTTTCCGTATGTCACCTTTGTGAGTGTCGTATCGTTCAATGACGTCACGATTCCCGCTTTTTGCTTTTGTTGAATTGGTTTCTCCATATAATAAAAAGAACATTACACGTTGGCTCGAAGATATGAATTTTATGTTCTCGTGGTAAGAACAATATCTCATTCGTTCGCTTCGCTCACTCGTGAGATATTGTTCTTGCCACTCGAGCATAAAATTCATATCTTCTCGCCACCGTGTAATATCCTCTCTATCTGTAGTCTTAAATACTTCGAAAAGCCTTTTTTTGCACTTTTCAAGCAGGTGTAAATCCTTAATCAAGTGAAAATCAGACGTTATGATACTATGGCTACAGGTGCTGTATACTTCCACAGATTTTATATGGTGCAGTCTTTTAAAAATTTTCCTCGCTGGGTAGGTGTTTATTTGTTTTACGTACAGCAAGTTTCTCTTTCAAAGGGTGGATAACACTATCCACTGGATAAATCTCTGTCCAGTGGTTAGTTCAATATATTGGTTTCCCTAGTTCTTATCAGCTGGATTGTGATTTATCCAGTGGATAGCGCTCTTCAACGTTTGAACAACTGGAGCTAGGTTGACAATGCTATCCACCAGCCTTTCCAGTAGACAAGTGTGGGAAAGCAATTATTGAGTTATCCAGTGGAGAATGATTTATACGGTGTCTAGTGCTGTCCACACTTTGATCCGCTGGGAAATGGTTACATGCATGGGTTAGTCTTTAGCATTTACATGGCTCTTGACTAGTAATTTTACAGCATTTTTACTCATCAAGTGCTATGGCAGCCGTAATCCAAGATCTTAGGGACATCAGTAAAATAATGGTGTGCAAAGAATTCTCTACTCATAAACCCTGAGAGGACAAAATTAGTGGTTGTTGGCTCAGCACAACTTATTAAGAGGCTACCTCATATCTCCTTTTCCCTGTTGGGCAAAACTATTTCACCAGTTTCAGTTGCTAAGGATCTCGGGGTATACATGGATCAATATCTTACCTATGATGTACATGTTACTAAAACAGTCTCTAGTTGCATGAACCAGTTGGTAAAGATAGGTAGAATAAAATTAAACATCTTTTGGATAAGAAAACCCTTTTATTACTTGCAAATAGCTTTGTTTTCAGTAAACTTTTTTAATGTTCCTTAGTATGGGGGAACACATCTAAACATAACCTACACAAAGTGCAGTTGGTACAAAATTTTGCTGCCAGAGTTGTATTAGGTTTAAAGAGCTTTGATGACATCTCCCAGGAATGTAGATCTCTTAAATGGTTAGATGTTACAGAGAAGGTTCTGTTTAATGACTTAGTTTTAGTATTCAAATGTGTGAATGGCTTGGCTCCAGATTATTTAGGTAAATATTTTATTGAACATTCAGCAGTTCACAACAATAACAAAAGGAGATGTAACAATTTTGTGGTCCCCCGATGTGGACTGTCAATGGGACAAAGGGAACTTTATTTTCAGGGTCTAAGGGAATGGAATAGGCTAGCTGACAATATTAAGAACACTAAAGATATTGATAGTTTTAAGCAGACACTTTTTAATAATATGTTTCATACGAAATAATTTTGAAATATATTTTGAATAATTCTGAATGTATTTTGAATTTCATTAAACTACTGTAAATAAGTTTTCTTTTGTTAATTGCCAGTATAATGAAATAGTTAACATTGTGACTGAAAAGCCCTGTTGAAGGGAGTCTCAATAAAGTATGTATGTATGTAGGTATTTTGCTCATGTTGCCTTTGCATGCAGTCACTTGAGCTCCTGACATGGCGTCAGTAACGACCCTGTATAGTATAGTAATGTTCTAACCAACTGATGCTTTAAAAGAAGTATCCTAACTATCCTAACTATCAGGCGAACGTGTTCCGGTGTGCCTTGTCCCCAAGACAAAGCGATTCGCAGATTTCTGCACCGTTAAGTTTCAAGACCAGTTGTAATCCTGTGCTTGTTATTTTTTCTCTGTTATGTAGTGCTTTTAATCATATTTACATAATTATCTATTTGATTATTTTTGCATTGTATTGTCTTCTGTTAGTGTCACTGACCTTCCTTGTAATTCAGCCTTTAGGCTGCGAGAGGGATATCAATAAACTATTACTTTACCTTGAACTGTTTTGCAATAGGTCACTAGTGCTGCTTGCTTGTTTCTTGCTGGAAAGGTGGAGGAAACTCCAAAAAAGTGCCGAGATATAATCAAGACAGCCAAAAGCATTTTGACAGATGCTCAGTTTGAAGTTTTTGGTGAGGACCCAAAGGTAAACATCTACAAAAGCTAATTAACTGGAGATGCAATGGTTTTATTGGAACCCCATAGCACTTTGTACTATTAGTTAAACTGGAGGAAAGTTTACAGTGGACCATTGCTGTCTACCAGGCATTTTATGTTATTTGCATGGAACCGATGTTATACAATATAGGCAATTACCAAACCATTTGTGTAGTTTTGAGTAATAATACGTGTATATACGTTGTAATATGTGACCCAAGGAACTGCAAGGATAAGGAACAGGGAAAATTAATATCCATCTGTTACATGTATTGTATTTTTCTTTAATACTGGTACCACCATGGCTTTTAGAACCAATATTTCTCTCCAGCACTCAAGTCTGAAATCATCATCTGCAAAAAGCTGCTCCCATGAAACTTGAACATTTTTCATGAGCATTTTTTTTTTTTATGTCAGATGATAGTGGGTAACTGCGATTAATTTAGGCACCTGAATAAAGTTTTCGTTACTTGTGACTGATTTTTTTTGTAGGAAGAAGTAATGATGTATGAAAGGGTGTTGCTTCAAACAATTAAATTTGATTTACAAGTGGAACATCCGTATCCAAGCCTTCTAAAGTTTGGAAAAGCCTTGAGAGGTATGTAAGCCAGCCTGCAGATTGCTCAAGAAAAGGAAGATTTTACATGTGTGTACCTTCTTAAATTAACCCTTTGATTCAACTGGAGGCTGATATTAAAAAATTTACAAAAATTCCAACTTTCTGTTTGAAAAATCCAGAGAAACAGATGGTTTTAAGTTATGCAAAAAGTCTGCCAAACGGGCAAAAAGGTTTCACTTTCATTTAAGTGGTAACACTATAGGATTTTTTCTACAGAGTAATTGATTTAAAAGAATGCATGACAAGTTATCCTGCCACACCTTGTTTAGGATCAAAGATTAAAGCTGCGTTGTTTAGCCCTAATTTTTTTTATGATATTTAAGTTATCATCAATAACTGTAAATTATAAAATCAACTATATAACTGAAAATAAAAAATCAAAGCCTTCGATTTTTAATTGTCAGATATATAGTTGATTTTATAATTTACAGTTATTTGGTTCTCCCACTTGGATTTCTACTGTCACGTAACTTTTACTTGTGCACACATGTACATTTTACACCCATAAATAAAAGAGAGGCAATGTATCAAAGATTGCACCTTAACATAAAGGTTGAACCTCACTCAGCTCTTACGTTTACACGCAGCCTTTCATACATCGCCTCTATTTTTTAATTGTTTACACACGTCAAATTTACGTGCATGTGCATGTGAAAATTATACGACAATGGAAATCAACCCAAAGGATTAATGATTTTGTCTCTTTCTAATTTTTATAATACACAAACTTTTCATGAATATCTCGGAAACAAGAGAAGATATCCCAGCATATAAAACTCAGTTGTTCTCTTTGTTGAAAGTACTTTTAATTAGCTTGAAGTTCGCTTCTTTTTTGCTTCTTGGGGACTTATATCATTTTCATTTGTGAACTCATTTCAGGTGACCGTGCAAAAATCAACAAACTTGTCCAAATGGCATGGACATTCTCAAATGACAGGTTTGACATTGCAGTTCATAATGTTAAGTCTGTGTAACCGTTTTGTAGATGTGGGATAACCTCAGTAGCTCGCTCTTATGACTCTTTTAAAACTTTGTGCATAAAAAACAGCCATGGTGATACAAATAGTCCTTCTCAGTGAATCAACACTATCACCTGATGAAGACCAGCAGTATGTGGCCAAAACGTGATGATCGATACCTAAGGGACAATCGTGAGACAAACAATAAACAAAACCCTTTAAACACATTATCCACTATGAACAATAATCTTTCATGAGGTAATGATTATGTTGATGATGACTGATGATTGCAAAGAAGTGCTGATTGATGGTCTCTGTAATGTACCAAGTTTTGACAGTGCCTCTGAAAAATAAAAATTAAATGATTTATTGTTAATAACAGTATTGTATTGAATCCCCTAGTCTATCCACTACATTGTGTTTGAGGCACAAGCCTGAGGTCACTGCTGTAGCTATGATAGCACTGGCTGCCAAGTTTAACAACCATGATCTTCAAGCATCTGCAAGTGTACCTGGGAAAACCTGGTTCCAATCATTTACCAAGGGAGTTCCTGAATCAGTTATTGAAGGTACTGTAGTGATTCTTATCTCTTGAAATGGTCAAGACAGCAGCAAAACCTCAAAAAGTTTTAAAAATAGTGCGACTTTTTGAATTTTAACAAACACATTTTGACGGTACATCCGTCATCGTCAGTGTGACTGTTATGAAAGTTTACCGCTGATAAAATGTGCCTGTTACAATGTACAGTATACGTTACATTGCATTGGAAAACAATACACTGTATAAATTTAAAGTTAACAAAATTAACAGATGCGTGCGCATGCATCTATAGAGAAAGCATGAGATTGATGTGTTTGACCTGTTGATGAAGGTCGGGCTTTTTCCGCTTAATGTACATAGACTCCCTAAGCTTAACCTGATACCTTGTAGGGGCAGAGTCTTAGATCTTAAAGCAGTCTAAGTTACAGGAGGTACGACAAGACTCTGAAATCTGTAAGTGCTTATAAACATGAAACGATCTGTCCGATGACGTGTGCTCGTGCATGAGCTTGGAAAAGTGTCTGATTGTTTCGCCAACGTAACAAGCGTTACAGCTTGCACAGGAAAATTTGTAGATGATGCGTGTACGAGGCCTGTCAGGGAGAGGATCTTTCATGTTGAATAAGTTCTTAATTTTAAAAGTGGAATAAACTAACTTGATGTCAATTGGTTTACAGAACCGGTTGATGAGTTTGTACACCCTCCGTTGTGCAACAACCCCAAAAAAAAACCCAATGTAGGGGATGTTGAAATAGTGCCTAGGCAACTCTTACTGCTCGACACCTGTCGAAGGTCGAGTATCTACTTATCTCTTGCTACCATGGCATGTGACATAACGACTTCTCCTCTCTGTTTTGGCCTGCATGAGAATCTCATGAAAAGGTTTTTTAAAATTACAGTATCTAATTTGTTTTAAGTGTTGTAGAGGCCATACCAACAGTATGTCTAAATGGAAAACTTGGCAAGTTTTCTTATAAAACCGAAAAAATTTCCTCATAAGAATGATAAAAAAATATATTTCTTAATATGTAACAATTTTTTCTTGTAGAAGAAAACCTGCTTGAATGTGCAAATAATACAACTTAATCATGGCTTTGCTCTGGTATTTTAAGGCATATGCGATGAAATGATGGAACTCTATGGTGGTGGAAAGAAGAAGGAGAAAACAGAAGCTAGTGATGAGGGGAGTTCATCAAATCATTCCAGTCCATTGCCCAGCTCAAGTCCTCCAGCAAAGAAAAGGGTGGGACCAGTTATTCCAAAGTTTTTCTTTAGTTTCTCACTTTTGTGCCTTCTAAAAAGTCAACAATCACTTGTTCTTTACAGTATTTTTGTTAAAAAATAATTGTAATTGTTTTTTTGTTTGTTTGTTTCTTTTTTTTTTTTTCCTATTTTTTCCGTCTTTTTTCAGAAACACACCAGCATTTCATCTGACATCAAATCCCAGACAACTGCATCCGGTAAGAAAGTTTTTTCTGTAGTTAGTTAGTTAGTTAGTTATTTATCTGTTTATTTATTCATTATAATAATACTATTGTTGATACGTGCGTGATGACAATTATTCAAGTACACGACTCCTTCGTGGTCATACCTGCCATAATATGGCCACAGAGACGCAGTCTTGAATATCTTAAATGAATGAATGAACCTTATTTAAGTGTCAGAGTATTTAGCTAGGTATTAGCTAATTGTGGACACTAAAAGAACATTCCAAATACAAAATAAAAAATTGAAATAGGGATGCTACGAGTGTTATAAATCTTTTTTAAAATGTACAATCATTTTGAAGACACGGAAGGTTCAGCATAAAAATCCAAAAATCTGTACTATTCACAAATTTAATATCGCTTATCTTATTATATAAAAAGACGTGTGAACACGGAGGAGAACGTGTCACATTTCCTCTTATGTTTATCCATCTGATAAAGCGTGAGCTAACCACATCATATAGTAACGCAAGACTGAAGCGATTGAGATATTTCTTTCTATACTTAATTATATACGATTAACTGCCGCTTGTAAGCTTCCTACTTATAAGCCCCCCTGTTATAGGCCCATCTACCTGCAAACAAAATAATATATCCTCCCCCCTCCAGATGTATTGAAATAAATGCGATTTATTATGGCGTTTGAAGGTAAGTTAAAAACCAGCAAATGTAAAATGTGTTTTGATCTGCACTGCTTGCTTGTTTCGAGGCGCTTTTTCTATTCCGATCATAAGCTCTCTTGGATTAAGCCCCTCTCCGTTTATAAGCCTTCCTAAAACTAGCCTGTGAACAGACTCTCTGTTTGGGGAAAGGGTGAAAAAAAATCGCGATTTTTTCACTCCTTCCCCAAAATGATAGTCTGTTCACAGGCCATCCCAAAACCCCTTACGAAGATGTATAGAGTGTTTTCACTCACGTGGCCAGCATCTATGCAAATTTATTGGAACAAAAGAAAGCGTTTGCATAAGAAAAAAGTTCAACTCCCACAGGATTGGTTTAGGACACCAACATGGCAGCCGTTTCATTGTTTTGGGACACAAATATGGCCGCCGTGACGTCATGTGAAAACACTCTATAAGCCCAGGGCTTAAAAGCTGCAGTTAACAGTATACTAATTAGTTTTTTTCCACTTCTTTGAAGATACTCCTCCTGTCGTCAGCCAGACACCAGCAGAACCACTAAAGCCACTTCCACCAGCTCTAACGTCATCTCACATACAAGTGGAGAATGTGAGTCCTGCACCTCCCGCGCCCACCCCCTCACAGCAGCAACAACAGCAACCTGTCACGGTCACGACAGAGCCTCCAAAAGTCACGCAAACTGTAGACACAACATTTGTCACAGCAGCTCAAACCGGAAAGCAAACCACCGACATGACTGTAGCCGCCAATGTTCACCAGCCGACCTTAGCGGTGTATTCCACTGTCACGTCATCTTACATAGCGGAGCAAAGTTACGCCATGAACCCTTATCAACAGACAGTGCAGCCAGCAGGAGGGGTAACACTTACAACAAATGCGTCATTTCAAGCATCTGTTGGTAGCTCAAACCTTGGTTCTATGGCGTCCTTCCATCTGCCAACTCAATTTCAGAATCAGTCTTATTTGCCACCAACTCAGGGCTATACCCACTTCCCTGCCCCTGGGGGCTACCCTAATGCTCCTCCACCTCCTCTCCCACCCGTCCCTCCCAGTTCTCTTTACCCTCCCCCTCCAAGTGGCATCAACACTCTCCAGAACCCTCCTGGGTATAGCATGCCTCCTCAAACCAGACCACCCCATCCGCCCATGTCGCTTCCTCCTCCACCCCTCCCTCCATTACATAGCGGACAGTTGCCCCCATTACCACGAGTAGGTTCTACTGATTTTCAGTGGCCAAGGCAATTTGGAGTTCCTCCAACGCAAAGCCAGCAGATGGGAGGTTGGATGAAATGACGAAATTGATATTGCTGATTCAGATACCGTGTGGCACTTTATTCGTGTGGGTTCGGATTTTTGCGTTTTTTTGCCCGCAAGTAAAAAAAAAGACAAAAATTTAAAATCGAATACACGGTCAAATGTCGTTTGAATAGGTTTGGTAAAGAAAGAAAGCGACTACAGATATGAAGAATACCAGCATGAATCAAATCCTACCACACAAAGAGGTTGGACCTGTATTTTGTCTCCATCAGAAACGTAAAAACTTTGAATGCAGTTGTTTCTGTGAATTTCAGAAATAGATTTCCAGTGAAAAAGTTCAGATCAGTTGGCTCAGGTTTCAATAGGAGATGTGCAGTTCATAGCTAAAGCCATGGAAAGGCATGGACAGTTAATAAAGTTTTCAACTGCGTTTTGAAAATGAAGGTTCAATTACCTCTGGCGTCAATTTCAAAGATACTCTACTTACTTAAGTAAGCGCCACGACGCTTGTTACATTTTCACGCCTCTAATGTGGCGCTTTTTCGATGGCGGCGTTTATTTGAAAGTTGACGCGAAAAAGAGTGGTTTTAACTACGGTCTTATTACTTTCGGTATTTAACTAAAAGATTTAACGTCTTTAGATGTTGATTACAGAGAGTTGAGCTTCACGTATACGACAGACGTCAGATTCAAGTTGAGAATTTCTCAGAATAGAAAGTGAGCAAATAAAAATAATTCTTATGGATAAAAAATCGCTGAGGAATGTGGATACCAAGATGGAGGGTGGAGAGTTAAACGCGTACCGTATAAACCTCCACCCACTTGTAACCGCTCTGTGGTAGTAGCCAACTAGAAAGCTTGGCTCCTTTGGCTTCTACACACTTTTTCCTTTGTTATGCTTAATTCAATGTATAGTTAGCTCTGTTTTTACTCCTTTTATTGTTGTTGTATTATAATTGAATAAGTGTGTATAAAAGAACTTGAACTTGATTTATGTGTAGAGATAATGAACAGTAAACGACAAGCAAAGAGGAAACTTGGTCACGTGGTAATTCGCGATTGACCGGCGTTTGACGTAAATGTGATGCCGGGGTCCCAGCGCTTATTAACTTTTTGTCCTAAATTCGACGCTTAATCAAGTAGAGATGTTATCATAAGACTATTTCGGCAGATATCCCCGAGAGGATTAGCCTGCGTAGCTGGCGGTATTGTGTGGGTGCGAGATTAAAGTTTTGGCGGCGGAGCCGTGTTCCAAAAAAAATGAGTAGGGACGAGGCGGTTGAAATACCGCCTGCCAGAAAACCCCGGTATTTTGAATGGTCCGCACACCAGTGTGGGGGGAAACGGATTGGTCGAGGGCCATACATATGTCAATCATGTTAGATGAGCCTTCGCGTATATTTCCCAATTTAGGGAGCAGATGGCAAACTGGAGAAGACGTACATGTAAAGTGATTGTGATTTCCGCTTTAGAAAGAGCATAATTGATGACCAAATTACCGAAATGGCGTCTTTTAACTTCACAGCGCAGGAATTGTCTTAATTTAGCCGTAAGAAACAAAGGTCAAAGAAAATTAAAACACTTTACAACTGCATCTGAGATCAAATCCTATCAGGAACACCTACAGAAGAATAAACCACCGGAAATGGTTGCTTAGTATGCATGTAACAAACCAGCTTCATGACCTTTTAATGTTAAGCCTAGTGTTGCAAAAAAAGATTTACTCAGTCAAAGTTTAGAATGATACATGCACTGTGTTGTGCTAGTAACCTTCGGGCGAGAGCCGAGAAAATAAAAAAAACCTCTGCTCAAGCAAACTCACAAGGTCACGTTTCACATTGTCACGAGCTTAGGAGTCGTGTTTAGCCTGTCAACGCTTATTTCTAAACTGTCTCGCGCGAAAATAATCGGAAGTTTCAAACTGCAGGTTTCTCTTTGACTGGCTGATTTAATTGGGATCAGCTAACGTGACAAAAAGTGGGCGGCATTCGAAAAATCATGGTTCTCTGGCAGGCGGTATTTCTCGCGGCTTCGCCGCTCGTGACGGCTCCGCCGTCAAATCTCACTCGACTATATTACAACGGCTCCGCCGCCAAATCTCACTCGACTACTACACAATACCGCCAGCTACGCAGGCTACGAGAGGATAGGATATTTTGGTTATCGCGTCGTTCTTCATTCCTTCACTGCATGTGATTGGCTTTACGCGTCACAATTAGTCAGTGCTGATTGGTTTCTTTAAACAAAAGCGAACAACTCAAGAACGGAAGTGGCTCTTCTCCGGGTAGGGTTTTTGCGCCTTATTGATCTGAAAACGGGTATACACTTTGCCCATTTTGGTCTGGAATCGGGTATGATTTTTGAGGGAAATGCGGGATAGTATAAACGTATTAATCGTTTCAATTCCCAATGAGTAGAAAAGAAAGAGAAATTTTCTATGCAAATTCGAAATGGAATTGAAGAATTTTTTTTGCTTGCGCGCTAATCTAAATAATGACAACATAATTTGTGCCTGAAAAGCCAGGTCTGAAAATGGGTATAGATTTTCGAGGTCTTGTCTGAAAACGGGTGTGGAAAATTACATTTTTTGGTCTGAAACGGGGGTCAGGATTTGGAGAACCGGGCGGCACACCCTTACCAAGAATTCCCAGGAGTATTCCCCCCGGGGGTGCAGACAAGTTTGTTTTTGGTTCAATAGGAAATTTTCCTTGAGTTCAATATAGTAGAAGGAAACATTTGCCACTCTATGGCAAGTCCTGAAAAGCTTTCCGTCTGGCAAATGAACGAAGAAGGAAAATGGGCAGTTTCGGTGGCATGAAGTTAAAGTATTTACAATCCGACAGACAACACGATCAATGACGTATTTAATTACATAGCAAGCGCGTGTTTTATACAACGTGTTAGATATCATAGAGGAATTTGTCAGACATTTACGGTCAAGGTGCTTCGATATGCTAGAAAATCACCCACAGAGCGAGAAAGATTACTGCCCAGTATCTGTTCTGCCGGCTCTTTCAAAAGAGTTTGAGCAGTTTGTGCTGAAACAATTAATTTCCTATATCGATGAGCTTTCTTTATTGGCATCAAGTATATCTGGTTTCGGCAAGGGCCATTCTACACTAACTGCGCTGCTAGGTATTCGCGATGATCTCCTACCAGCTATGAAGAGGGTTGCCTGCGTGCAGACGTCTCCTATTTCCTTTGTTGCACGCGTGCAACAAAAGAAATAGGAGACGTCTGCACGCAGGCAATGAAGAGGGATCAAGTCAGGTTGATGGTTTTCACAGACTATTCGAAGGCCTTTAACACTGTTTTAAGACAGTACTAAGCAAGATGCACGCTTTCGGTTTTTCGTTCAAATAGACGACCAGACCTCGTCTATCAAGACTGTACTGTTTGGTGTCCCACGGGGATCGATACTCGGACCTTTTATTTTCAACCTATATGTTTCTGAACTTCAAAATCACATTAAGTGTTCTCGTTACCAGTACGCGGACTTGGCCAAGGCAATTTGGAGTTCCTCCAACGCAAAGCCAGCAGATGGGAGGTTGGATGAAATGACGAAATTGATATTGCTGATTCAGATACCGTGTGGCACTTTATTCGTGTGGGTTCGGATTTTTGCGTTTTTTTGCCCGCAAGTAAAAAAAAAGACAAAAATTTAAAATCGAATACACGGTCAAATGTCGTTTGAATAGGTTTGGTAAAGAAAGAAAGCGACTACAGATATGAAGAATACCAGCATGAATCAAATCCTACCACACAAAGAGGTTGGACCTGTATTTTGTCTCCATCAGAAACGTAAAAACTTTGAATGCAGTTGTTTCTGTGAATTTCAGAAATAGATTTCCAGTGAAAAAGTTCAGATCAGTTGGCTCAGGTTTCAATAGGAGATGTGCAGTTCATAGCTAAAGCCATGGAAAGGCATGGACAGTTAATAAAGTTTTCAACTGCGTTTTGAAAATGAAGGTTCAATTACCTCTGGCGTCAATTTCAAAGATACTCTACTTACTTAAGTAAGCGCCACGACGCTTGTTACATTTTCACGCCTCTAATGTGGCGCTTTTTCGATGGCGGCGTTTATTTGAAAGTTGACGCGAAAAAGAGTGGTTTTAACTACGGTCTTATTACTTTCGGTATTTAACTAAAAGATTTAACGTCTTTAGATGTTGATTACAGAGAGTTGAGCTTCACGTATACGACAGACGTCAGATTCAAGTTGAGAATTTCTCAGAATAGAAAGTGAGCAAATAAAAATAATTCTTATGGATAAAAAATCGCTGAGGAATGTGGATACCAAGATGGAGGGTGGAGAGTTAAACGCGTACCGTATAAACCTCCACCCACTTGTAACCGCTCTGTGGTAGTAGCCAACTAGAAAGCTTGGCTCCTTTGGCTTCTACACACTTTTTCCTTTGTTATGCTTAATTCAATGTATAGTTAGCTCTGTTTTTACTCCTTTTATTGTTGTTGTATTATAATTGAATAAGTGTGTATAAAAGAACTTGAACTTGATTTATGTGTAGAGATAATGAACAGTAAACGACAAGCAAAGAGGAAACTTGGTCACGTGGTAATTCGCGATTGACCGGCGTTTGACGTAAATGTGATGCCGGGGTCCCAGCGCTTATTAACTTTTTGTCCTAAATTCGACGCTTAATCAAGTAGAGATGTTATCATAAGACTATTTCGGCAGATATCCCCGAGAGGATTAGCCTGCGTAGCTGGCGGTATTGTGTGGGTGCGAGATTAAAGTTTTGGCGGCGGAGCCGTGTTCCAAAAAAAATGAGTAGGGACGAGGCGGTTGAAATACCGCCTGCCAGAAAACCCCGGTATTTTGAATGGTCCGCACACCAGTGTGGGGGGAAACGGATTGGTCGAGGGCCATACATATGTCAATCATGTTAGATGAGCCTTCGCGTATATTTCCCAATTTAGGGAGCAGATGGCAAACTGGAGAAGACGTACATGTAAAGTGATTGTGATTTCCGCTTTAGAAAGAGCATAATTGATGACCAAATTACCGAAATGGCGTCTTTTAACTTCACAGCGCAGGAATTGTCTTAATTTAGCCGTAAGAAACAAAGGTCAAAGAAAATTAAAACACTTTACAACTGCATCTGAGATCAAATCCTATCAGGAACACCTACAGAAGAATAAACCACCGGAAATGGTTGCTTAGTATGCATGTAACAAACCAGCTTCATGACCTTTTAATGTTAAGCCTAGTGTTGCAAAAAAAGATTTACTCAGTCAAAGTTTAGAATGATACATGCACTGTGTTGTGCTAGTAACCTTCGGGCGAGAGCCGAGAAAATAAAAAAAACCTCTGCTCAAGCAAACTCACAAGGTCACGTTTCACATTGTCACGAGCTTAGGAGTCGTGTTTAGCCTGTCAACGCTTATTTCTAAACTGTCTCGCGCGAAAATAATCGGAAGTTTCAAACTGCAGGTTTCTCTTTGACTGGCTGATTTAATTGGGATCAGCTAACGTGACAAAAAGTGGGCGGCATTCGAAAAATCATGGTTCTCTGGCAGGCGGTATTTCTCGCGGCTTCGCCGCTCGTGACGGCTCCGCCGTCAAATCTCACTCGACTATATTACAACGGCTCCGCCGCCAAATCTCACTCGACTACTACACAATACCGCCAGCTACGCAGGCTACGAGAGGATAGGATATTTTGGTTATCGCGTCGTTCTTCATTCCTTCACTGCATGTGATTGGCTTTACGCGTCACAATTAGTCAGTGCTGATTGGTTTCTTTAAACAAAAGCGAACAACTCAAGAACGGAAGTGGCTCTTCTCCGGGTAGGGTTTTTGCGCCTTATTGATCTGAAAACGGGTATACACTTTGCCCATTTTGGTCTGGAATCGGGTATGATTTTTGAGGGAAATGCGGGATAGTATAAACGTATTAATCGTTTCAATTCCCAATGAGTAGAAAAGAAAGAGAAATTTTCTATGCAAATTCGAAATGGAATTGAAGAATTTTTTTTGCTTGCGCGCTAATC